CCATTCGCAATTCTGAAATATTGGAAGATCTCGAAGCTCTTATGAAGTCCTAGAAAATCGTCGTGTTGTTAGATTACCTTGGAAGAAAGACGTTACTCTTTCTTCAAATAACTATCACGTTGCATCGAAACGCTTCAATACATTGTGCAAGAAGCTCCAAACGGATCCTAGCTTAAAGGAAATGTATGTTACACTCATGGAAGATTACATAGACAAAAGGCAAGTTGAAATAGCACCGGAAAATCATGATAAGGAAGAAAAAAGCTATTACATACCCCATCATGGAGTCATTAAAGAGAAAAACGCAGAAATTAATGGACGAATAGTGTTCGACGCCTCTTCTCACACACCAGGCCATCCATCATTAAACGATGTTCTAGAACAAGGTCCCAACCTACTTCCAGAAATTTTAGCCACTTTACTACGATTTCGTCTTCACAAACAAGCAATTATTAGTGATGGACGTCAGGCTTTTTTACAATTAACCTTGTGGGAAAAAGACAGAGGTGCTACTAAGTTTCTATGGTTCAAAACTAGGAAAAATGATGATGAACATTTGCAGCTGGAGAATGAAATTGTGGTCTATCAATTTACACGTTTGCCCTTTGGATTAACCAGCAGCCCATTCCTTCTTTCAGCTACACTTGACGAATTATCCAGCATGTACTCCAACATTTACCCCACAGCAGCTAAACATCTAAAAGGCAATATTTTCATGGATGATTTCGTTGTGGGAGTTGATTCAGAAATCGAAGCGAAGACCCTATTTCACGAAATGCAAGAACTCACGAGTCTTGTAAGCCTTCCCTTAGCGAAATGGAGTACCAACTCACAAGTTTTGAAAAACGAATGGAAGAAAGAAAAAATAAAGTTTAAAAGTAAGACTCAAGTCTTAGGTGTTCATTGGGATACAGAAGAAGATTCGTTTCATCAAAATATTAAGGAGCATGACCACGATTTATTTAAGGAACCGATCACTAAACGCTTACTACTGAAAACAATCTCAAAGATTTTGATCCCTTGGGAATTTTCTCACCATATACTGTAATAGGAAAAATTCTCTTTCAAGATACATGGCTATGTGGTATTGAGTGGGACGAGCTTTTACCCCCATCTATCGCATCAAGGTGGTCAAAATGGATTATAGACTTACCACATTTAAACAACATTCGAATCCCCAGATGGATTGGAATATCTTCTGCTGATGTTACCATTCACGTATTCTGCGATACTTCGGAACGTGCTTACGGAACAGTGTTATATGTACGATTCACATAAGATACTAAATTTCATGTTCGAATGGTTTGCAGTCGTAATAGACTTTCTCCTCTGAAAAGAATAGCACTTCCACGCTTAGAGCTGTTAGCCGCATTATTGGGTGCTCGATTACTCCATTATTTCTGTACGGAAACTAAACTGGATAGGAACACAGCGACACTTTGGAGTGACTCAACAGTTGCTTTAAATTGGATACAAGGTGATCCAAATCGTTGGAAAACCTTTGTCTGTAACCGAACGAACGAAATTCTCAATTACACAAATCCAACACAATGGCGGCATTGCCCTGGCAATGAAAATCCTGCCGACCACTTGTCTCGTGGTGTTGAACCAACAGAGCTTAAATCATTGGATCTTTGGTGGCTAGGACCAACCTGGCTAACACAATCATCAAAATTTTGGCCTTCAAAACAACTGAGTTACGCTAATCCAGATATTCATATTGAACTACGTAAACCAACTTCTCAATCTTTATTGATAACTTCTTACCAGCCTCTTATTGATATATCGCGCTTCAGTTCATATATGAAACTTCTTAGAGTTACAGCATGGATATTTCGCTTCTTGTATAACTGTCGATCCAAACAACACATTTCTATTGACCTCACATGTGATGAGCTTAACACAACAAAAAACTATTGGATTCTTACAGTGCAAAAGCAATGCTTTCCAGAAGAGCTTCACGCTTTACAAAATAATTCCCCTTTGCCAAAATCTTCAAAAATTAGCCGTTTCAACCCATTTCTTCAAGAAAATCTCACACGATTAAGAGGTAGATTACAGTTCGCATCGCTCAAAAATGAGCAAAAACACCCTTTGCTTCTTGATGGTTCTCATCCTTTTGTACATCTTTTCATATACTACACACACGTGAAGATTCATCACTTAGGTGTTCAAATAGTACTTTCAGAGATTCGTTCCAACTTCTGGATAATACGAGGACGTGAAGCCATTAAACGAGTGCTCTATAAATGTCTACCTTGTAAACTCTCACAGGCATCTAGAAGTCAACAAATCGAAGCTCCTTTACCAAGGGACAGAATTACACCTTGCCTTCCATTTACTACTATTGGCATAGACTTCGCTGGCCCACTTTATGTTCGTAACTTGAAACCTTTAAATACAGCCTATATCACACTTTTCACTTGTTCAACTACTCGTGCTGTACATATTGAACTAGTCTCTGACCTCACTACTGACAAATTTCTCATGGCCCTAAAAAGATTTGTAGGCAGAAGAGGAGTTCCTCATACAATATGCACTGATAACGCCACTACCTTCCATGCCGCTAATAAAGAGCTATCCATTTTATGGGACAACTTAACATCGTCAAAAGTTCAGCAATATTGTGCCCAGACGGGAATTAAGTGGAAATTTATTGTTGCACGATCGGCTTGGTGGGGAGGATGGTGGGAACGTTTGATCGGACTAACAAAAGGGTGTTTGCGAAAATCTCTTGGTCGAACCTTGTTAGATGAAGAAGGTCTTTATACAGCATTAGTTGGTGTTGAAGCCTCATTAAATTGTCGACCGTTAGTTTATGAACAAGGAAATGATGATCCTGAAGAAACATTAACACCATCTCATTTTCTTACCGGTAAAAGACTTACAACCATACCTTCACAACCTGCAGCATATAGTAGAAATCTCCCGACCTGTTCAACTGATCATTCCTCTTGAGATTGATCAGGGTGGGGAGGATGTTCCAGACGCAAGTGCGTGAACGCAGATGCAGTGATTACCAGACGCAAATGCGTGAACGCATATGCAGTGATTATTTATTATATTATTTATTATATTATTTCTTACATTATTCTTTTGTTGGCAACATGTATATATTCTTTGTGTACACTTGTGATAGTAAAAGAGTTTGTTCTTTGAGATAGTTGTTTTAGTGTTGATTGTAATTAGAAAACATTTACGTTTACAACCAACACAAGCATCTTTATGGTAAAGAATTCATTGTTTTAACTGATGCGAAAGCATTAACTTTTCATATTGATTTGCAAAAACAACCAGAGATTGTGAGTAGGTGGCTTATGTATTTACAAGAATTTAATTTTCAAATTAAGCATATAGAAGGTTTAAAAAATCCAGCTGATTATCTATCCAGAGTACCCATTACTGATGTTGTTGTTAATAATGTAAATATATTTGAAGTGAATGAAAATCTTAAAATGGAGAATATAATTAAATTTCAACAAAATTGTAGCAAAACTAAAGAAATATTAGAAAAACTTAAAATCTATGACAAATTCACTTCAAAAAAATTTTTTGTAAATGATAAAGGAATACTTATGAGAATTAAACCTCCTAAACATCCTCATAAAACAATTAGTAGAATTTTTATACCTGAATCTCTTAGAGGTGAGGTTCTTAAGGCAGTTCATGCTGCACATTTTGGTACTTTTAAAACATACAATTTAATGAAGAGAAATTATTCCTGGTATGGCATGTTAGCTGATACACAAAATTTTGTGGAATCATGTGATGCTTGTTTGGCAAATAAACCTAAACCAAAAATTACTGAAACTAAATTTATTGAGAAAAGTGATCTCAATGTGGGACAAAGATTGTCAATTGATATTGTAGGAAAATTGCTTAGGTCTATTGACAACAAATTCTTTATTTTAACAATTATTGATAATTATTCAAGATATTTAGAGACCATACCGTTAACAAATATAAAATCACCTAACATAATCAGTAGCTTAAATGACTATTTTTCAAAATTTGGGTTAGCTCAGGAAATAATTAGCGATAACGGCACTAATTTCACTTCTGATGAGTTTGTTAACTTTTTAAAATCCTTAAACATTGAACACAGAAAGACTTCATTTTATTATCCTTTATCTAATGGTTTACTGGAGAGATCTCACAGAATTTTAAAAGAATCAATAGCTTCAATGTGTCACAATAGTTGGGAGTGGACGAATAAACTTTTATTTTTCAAATTGCATTATAATTTCGTCAATAAATGTGGTTACAGGTTATACTCCTGCAGAATTGTTTTTTGGTCGAAATTTAAATCTCCCATTAAATGTAAGTGTTAATGTCAACAATGAAGAAAACCCATCTAATTACATTAAAAAATTAACAGAGCACATTGCAGAGACCAGGGAAATAGTGAGGCTTAATGAGAATAAATATGAGCTCAAAATTTTATATTTGATGAAAAATGGCTGGTACAATTATCATTAAATATGGAAACATCCCATTCAAAAATTAAGCTTGATTTTTTCTTGGTTTTCTCTTTCTGATAACCGTTTTAGTTTTTTAGCTACTAAGGATTTTTACTGTCCTTGTGATGCAAATTTTTAGTTATATTGTCATTTCAATAACATCTGATTAAGATAGGGAGTATAGTGAATTTAAGGAAAAATTTGATATAGTAAATAAAATGAAATATGAGCAGAATAAATAAGTAAATGTGCTGAATTGAGATAATAATCATTGCAAATACTAGTGTAGGATTCAAAATGTAAATAATTGTATAACATATGACAAAAAAAATAATGCAAACACTAGTATAGGAGTATGAGGTAGATCTAAAAGATTGTCCAATTAGTGTCGTATGTTATTATATAAGTGTCAAACATAAAATTGATAAGAAAAAAAAAGAAAAAAAAGAGATCAATATCAAAATTTTTTAAACTTATTAGAAAAAGTTACTGTGTATTCTTAGACACTGTATGACAAAATGTTATTAACTAGATGACAGTATTGTTGGTGTAGTGCAAGTTTTGTATGTTGAAAATTTTTTTGCCTTTTGCAAGAAAGAGAGAATGGAGAGATAAGATGTATACTTTAACAAATTTTTTTTGAGACAAGATAGAATAAATTCACCACCATTGTTGTTTTGTAATTGTATATGTATGTTATATATTCGGATACTCACCATTTTTATTCACTGAACCACATGCTTCCAAAGAAAGAAATGTGTAAGGCAGCTGAATTTTTTTTTTCTTCATTTTTTTTCTATTTTAGTGAAGTAATGTTAAACACTGTTTAACAATTTTAATGTCTTTAAGAAAAGACATAAGTTGCAAAAATATAAGACTTGAAGTATTGCTTTGTAACAAGGAAGAAATTGCATGGACTGATCCTATAGGAGCAGATTATCTCGAGGAGCAGCTTTTGAGACGTCACGGGATTAGGCTGAACTTTCCCTGCAGCGACACCTGTCAGCTGAGTTCCCGAAGTGCAACAGTATTCAACAAAGTAATGGCAACGTGGGAGTGAGGGACTCCGAGTTTCATAGATATAAGGAACCCGTAAGAGGAAGTGAAGGTCCTATCTTTCCGGTGGCAACGAATAATGGGTTACTTTTTTCAATCATCGTGGCTCCATTCAAAAATTAAACTTTATTTTTTTTTCTTGGTTTTCTCTTTCTGATAACCGTCTTATTTTTTTAGCTACTAAGGATTTTTACTGTCCTTGTGATGCAAATTTTTAGTTATATTGTCATTTCGATAACATCTGATTAAGATAGGGAGTATAGTGAATTTAAGGAAAATTTTGATATAGTAAATAAAATGAAATATGAGCAGGATAAATAAGTAAATGTGCTGAATTGAGATAATAATCATTGCAAATACTAGTGTAGGATTCAAAATGTAAATAATTGCATAACATATGACAAAAAAAAATAATGCAAACACTAGTATAGGAGTATGAGGTAGATCTAAAAGATTGTCCAATTAGTGTCATATGTTATTATATAAGTGCCAAACATGAAATTGATCAAAAAAAAGAAAGAGATCAATATCAAAAAATTTTTTTAAAACTTATTGACAAAAGTTACTGTGCATTTTTAGATACTGTATGACAAAATGTTATTAGGTGACAGTATTGTTGGTATAATGAAGTTTTGTATGTTAAAATTTTTTTGTTTTACAAGAAAGAGAGAGTGAAGGGATAAGATTAATACTTTAACAAATTTTTTTTGAGACAAGATAGAATAAATTCACCACCATTGTTTTGTAATTGTATATGTATGTTATATTATTCGGATACTCACCATTTTTTTTATTCTCTTAACCACATGCTTCCAAAGAAAGAAATGTGTAAGGCAGCTAAATTTTTTTTTCTTCATTTTTTTTGCTATTTTAGTGAAGCAATGTTAAACACTGTTTAACAATTTTAATGTCTTTAAGAAAAGACATAGGTTGCAAAAATATAAGACTTTAAGTATTGCTTTGTACAAGGAAGAAATTGCATGGACTGATCCTATAGGAGCAGATTATCTCGAGGAGCAGCTTTTGAAACGCCATGGGATTAAGCTGAACCTTTCCCGCAGCGACACCTGTCAGCTGAGTTCCCGAAGTGCAACAGTATTCAACAAAAAGTAATGGCAACGTGGGAGTGAGAGACTCCTTTTCCCCCTTTTTTCGAGAAGATTCATTCGATTTCTTTGTGGGCCCCCGGATGTACGTCTGTGCATCAGGGAGGCGTGGAGTCTGATTTTTAGAAGAAATTGATGACGATTTTTTGAGCATGATACAAATCCATTTACATCTATAAAATTGTTCTATAATTTTTAATTTGTGGCCTGTGTGGCTGTAGATAGTGATGTTTTGCATTTATACGTTTTTTAATTTTTTTAAAAAAAAGAGTGCTGTCTAACAAATAAAATGTGGTGAGTTTACAAATTTCTGTATTTTTGTTTTATCTGTCTCATGTGTTTTTTAACTCTAGGCAATCCATTCCTTTTCAGCTATTTATTTTTCTTTCAGGTTATTGCGACAATGCAAATCTTTTAAATTATACTTTTGGCCATGTTTCGAATCAAGATGATACGTATCCGTTTACAGGATATTGTTATTCTAGTAATTTGTAATTGTTTATTCTAAATTAATTCTTAATGGTTCATTCTAAATTAATTATGTAATCTTTTGTTTTATTTTTTAAATCTTTTTCCCTAAGCCATTAAGAACACACGTTATTAGTCAGATTTCCATATTCTTCTTGTAATCTTTAAGCACAGTGTTGTCTTTAATCCCTTCAGATATAACAAATTTAATCTAAATTAGTTTTTATTTTTATTTATAATTTATTATTTTTTAAATAACAAAGGACCGATTATTTTCTTTTAAATAATAAAGGGGGAGGAATAGGCTGAATATTGGCTCCTCTATTGCTTATAAACACTAAATAATTTCTCTTTTGTAATTATAACCAAAGTAAGTTATAATAATACCAAATAATTATAACCAATACCATATAATTATAACCAAAGTAAGTTATCGTAAGTTATAAAAAAAAAACATTTTTAGATTATTACATTTGTTTACTATTTAGGAAAATTGCTGGTCGGCACCAAAAACTATAGACATGTAACAAATTCAATCCAATCTATTAATATTAAAAATTCTCTTTCTGATAACCGTCTTATTTTTTTTAGCTACTAAAGGATTTTTACTGTCCTTGTGATGCAAATTTTTAGTTATATTGTCATTTCAATAACATCTGATTAAGATAGGGAGTATAGTGAATTTAAGGAAAATTTTGATATAGTAAATAAAATGAAATATGAGCAGAATAACGAAGTAAATGTGCTGAATTGAGATAATAATCATTGCAAATACTAGTGTAGGATTCAAAATGTAAATAATTGTATAACATATGACAAAAAAATAATGCAAACACTAGTATAGGAGTATGAGGTAGATCTGAAAGAT